GGCGGTGAGAGCAGCGGTGGCTGCTCCAACAACTTCAACAACTCCAACAGCTAAGCTCCATCCACGCCAGCCGCACTGATATCTGTCGCCAGCGCCGCACTCTGTTGACCCAGTCCATAGAGTCACAAGAGAAGGGGCCAAATGACACAGTACGGTGGTCCAGGCAGTGGCAGTGATACCGGAGGGGGCGACAACGAAGGACGTGCCCATGCCAACTACCGAAGCCATCTTCTGCTGGCTTCAATATCCATGCCAGCTGCCTCAGCCACTCCCCGCTGATCCAGTCTATCCCATCCATAAGTAAGTTGGAGGGGGGGAGCAACCGGGATAACACCACGGTGTGGGGAGTGGCAACTGCAGAGACCTCAGGCCAGGTGTTCTGCCGCCGCCGCTGACCATACCCACCCGGCTGCAGAGACCCCAGGCCAGGCGTCACGCCACCAACCACACCCTCACCAGCAGCCGCCAACGCTCCATTCGCCTTTCACCGCCAACCACCCCGTTTCACTCACGACGTTCCGGCTACAAGGCAGGAAATCGCAGCTCAAGGGTATCCACGAGGTCCCAGGAAGTTCTCATAGCTGGACCTGGAACCGACGATGGGATAGGGTACCCCCTGCAAGCTCCTAGAAGGACAGTCATCTCCCCAAAGCTCTCCTGAAACGTGACAGGACACCATCTTGGACATGCGCAATGAGAGCCTCTCAGTCTTGAGAATGACTGGCCCAAACTCAGCCAGTGAATTTTCATGGCTGATGATGAACTGGATCTTAGATCTGCTTTGTCATAGACAATTGCTATACACTGGCTTTGGCAAATAAGGTTAAAAATTCAGTCTTAACTAGACTTTTACTTTGCAGTTCTGTATTTGTTTTCCTGAGAATACTACCTTTTCGAAATCAGTGGAATATATATCTTAATATATATAAACAGGCTAAAGTTATGTGAGACAATATATGCTAATACTTTGTTCATAGGATTGCTTTTTTAATAAGGTGAAACATGGTTATTGTCAGATTATCATGACAATCAAATATTTTTTGTATGTAGGGACACTAGTATACAAAAGTAACTGTACTAAATAAGTTCTCGAACTAGATATTTTTTCTAGCATGATTGTTTTATTTTCTCCTAGAGAGTTTGTAGATTTAAGATCCAAATCCTATGTATATGTACTGTATATCTAACTAAGTGCAGCTGGGCTCAAAGAGATGACATCTTCAGAATTTCACTGTTATGTTATTTCCACTTGCATTATCTCCATAAGATATTGCTGCCTATAGTTAAACAGTTTTCACCAATCGAATGTTTTTGCACATGTTGGTATACAACTTTCCTTAGTTCCAGGTTGCATGGCAATAAGAAAACTGTTTAAAATGTCAGATGTTCTTTCATACTTACCCTTTGCATGTGAATCAAATAGAAAGTTTTTAACAATTCTTTAACGAATCAGCCAAAAATCCATTGTGATTATCAGATACAAGACTGCCCATTTCTCTAGGAAGATATGCACTGATGAGCAGAAAACATATCTTTGGTTTAAGTCATTTATGGAAGACTGCAAAAACTTGTTCTTTTTTCTGTTAACTCTTTGAAATAGAAATGTATAAAACTGTGGAAAGAATTGCTGATGGTCATATTGAAGTCTTCTCCATAAGTTAAGCAACATCAGACACAGTATAGGCATATACATTTGAAGTAATTACAAACAATATAATGAATTTCAGGTTTACATTGCTTTTCTCTAAAGTTCATAAAAGATCTGAATTATAAGTCTTATTTCAGTCTATTGCCTTTGTTTTATTATTTTGTATTCAAACTGAATATAATGGTTGATTTAGCCAAATGCCTCCTCTGTTTATACAGTATATGGAGGTGGAAATCTATTTTTATTATTTAAAAGTACAGGTAACCCTCATTTTACAACATTCATTTAACAACTATTGAAAGCTATGATAGTGTTATAAAAAGTTAGTTACAATTGGCCCTCATGTACAACTGTCACAGCCCCTTTGCACTCACATGATCAAAATCTGGGTGTTTGGCAATCAGCATGTATTTATAACAATTGCAGTGTCCTTGGGTCATGTGATTGCTGTTTGCAACCTTCTCAGGAGGCTTCCAACAAGCAGAGTCAATGAGGGTGGGTGGGTTTTGCCTTGATTTGCTTACCAAGTATGGCCAAAAAGATTGTAAAATCGGGCACAATTCACTTAATGACCATACCACTCAGGGATGGATGTTGTGGTCCTGATTGTGGTCATAAGTTGATGACTACCTGTACTTATAGATAAAAAGAATTAAACTGTTTTTTTCTCTTTTGTCATCCAAGATTTTTGTTTTCTTGCCTAGCTTCCTTTTCAGAGAGACTTAGATTGGATAAATTACAGTTTCTAAATTTGGGCTGCAAAAGTCTAAATGACTATGAGATAGTAGTGAAGATAACAATTTGCTGCTGTTTAGTAGGTGTCTGAAGTTTTACAATCCAGATATGATAATCTGAAGAAAACAAAATGTTGGGTAACACAAAAAAACAGAAAAGAGCATTTAGTTCCTTCACCCATGCCCCATTTTTAGTTGAGAAAATTATATTTTCTGTTTTAAATATAATAAAATAAATGGTTACTATGGTCAGTAGCTTGCTTCTTATACTCTCTTTCTAACATGCAGTATGGAAGCATTTAAGTTTTTCAGTGGCCATGCTTAAATAGCAGTAGACTTATATACCGCTTCATAGGCCTTTCAGGCCTCTCTAAGCGGTTTACAGAGAGTCAGCATATTGCCCCCAACAAT